TACACCTTGTTATCTCAGATTCTCCAGCATTTGCAGTTCCTGCTATCTCTGTCATGGAGGGATGTTGCGAAATGTTGACAGCCAAACGGAGGGGAAGATGTGTTTGGTGGTGGCAACCTGCTGGAAGTGGTGGAAATGGTGGAGGATGATCCTTTGAATGCAGAGAGTAGTGAGGTAGAAAGTAAGGACAAGTGGAATGCTATCATTGTTTTAGGAAAGGAATAGGCTGAGGACAGAAGTGTGGGAGATGGTTTGGACACAGCTAAGAGCCCTGTCAATTACAATGGGGCGGGGGGGGTGGGAGTCTTCATTTGAGGAAACAGGTGGTTATGCCAGAGGCAGCCTGTTGTAAGGTGCCAGCTTCGGAATAGATACAACAGGGAGATGAAGAAACTGGGAGAATGGAATGGAATTCTTGCAGGATACAGGGTGTGAGAAAATGTAGTCACGGTAACTGAGGGAGTCGGTGGGTTTGCAATGGATACTGGTGAATAGCGTATCCTCAGAAATGGAGATGGTAAAGTCAAAAAAGGGAAGAGTCAGAGATGGACTATTGAGGATGAGAAAAGTCTTGCTTCTGATTCCTTTACAAATTAATTCCTTTGTTTCCTGCTTTTGAACTCCAGGATAATTCAAACAAACAAAAAAAGTCTTCATAGACCTTCATGTCAAAGGGTTAATCTCTTGTCATCATTCTGTCTTTATAGATGTGTGCATTGTTGTCAATCCCACCTTCATTTCATAGATTTTATAGAATCCCTACAATGTGGAAACAGGCCCTTTGGCCCAACAAATCCACACTGACCCTCAGAACATCCCACCCAGACCCATCCCTGTATGGCAGACCTGATCTACACACCCCTGAACACTACGGGCAATTTAGCAAAGCCAACCCACCTAGCCTGCACATCTTTGGACTGTGAGTGGAAACCGGAGCACCTGGAGAAAACCCACACAGACATGGGGAGAACATGAAAACTCCACACAGATAGTCACCTGAGGGTAGAATCAAACCCGGGTCCCTGGCGCTGTGAGGCAGCAGTACTAACCACTGAACCACTGTGCCGCCCCAGCCTGCCCTTGAAGTATTGGCTGCCCAAGCTATTTCAAAAGATAGCTCAACCACATTGCTGTAGTTCTGAAGTCATAGGAGACTAGAACAGGTTAGGACTGCAAATTTCCTTCCCAAAAAGGCATTGATGAACCAGATGGGTATCTCCAGAACATCAGCCTGGGTTCTAGATCACTAATCCAGTAACATTATCACTACACCACTGCTTCCCCTGTCTTGTAGACCTTGAATCCTTCTGCATCTCCATTAAATTATTTTAATATGTGAGGACAAATAGAATTCCATACTAGCTTGACTCCCTCCAATAGGATGACATCCCTATACAGGACTGACAACTAAAGAATCTCACAGATGCAGAAAATCTGGAACAACAATGGGAAATGCAGAAATACTCAGCAAGTTCAGGGGAGGACAAATGCGTTAACATTTTGTTTGTGAACCTTATGTCAACATTGACCATTAACTGAAGCATTGACTTATTACTTCTCCATGCAGATAATGACAGCCTGTTAATTTGTTCCAGCACTTTCTGTTTCTGATTCAGCAGAAGTCTCAGAAGTCTCAATCAAATTAACAGTGACAATGTTATTTGCATGAATTCCCCATTATAGATTATCTTGCAACAAATAAAAAAACATTTCATACAGACATCCCAGAGACTTAGCTGATTAATATCATTTGAAATAAAGATTTAATGTAATTTTAAAAACAAGTAGAGTCTCAGACTGCTGTCACTGCACAGGAAGATGAAACTGTGTGACTTATTTATGTTGTACTGTTGCACCAATGAGAAGTAGTGTATTTCTTACAATGCAGCAAAAAGTAATTCATCACTATAAAGTGCTTTGGGACATCCTGAAGTCCCAAAGCAATATATAAATGCAATTTTTTCCCCCCATTCATCATGAACTGTTGCTGTAGCATATAACCCTGGCTAAGAACTGAAAAAACAGGAACAGGATGGTGGATGGGAACAGGATGGAAACAATATGATGTTGAGCCTGCTGCACCATTCAGCATGATTATGGCTGGTTTTGGGCTGCAACTCCACTTTCCACCCACTTCTCATGGCTCTTGATTCCCTGAAAGACTGAAAACCTGTTCATCCTAAGCCTTAAATAAGTTCAAAGTCAGAAATTATGCAACAACAGGTTTTAGTCCAAGGGCTAATTTGAAATCACAAGCTTTTGGAGTACTACTCCTTCATTAAGTGAAGTGGAGGGAAGCACACAGGCACAGAATATATAGAATAAACGTGTCAGCCAATATATTCTGTGCCTGTGTGCTTCCCTCCACTTCATCTGATGAAGGAGCAGCGCTCCGAAAGGTTGTGATTTCAAATTAACCTGTTGGACCAAAACCTGGTGTTGCATGACTTCTGACGTTGTCCACCCCAGTCCAATACCAGCACCTCCAAATCTTAAATAGGTTCAATGATGGAGCATCCACACCACCTGAAATGTAGAATTCCATAGATTCATAGCATTTTGAGTGAAGAAATTCCGCCTTATCTCAGCCCTAAATGATTGCCCTCATCCTGAAATTGCACTCCCTTGTTTTAGATTCCAGTGTATACAAATTCAAGCCCCTTCAAGCCCTTGAATGTTTCGATCAATTCATTTTTCTAAACTCCAGAGAATAACGATTCTGTTTTCTCAGGCTGTCATTCTAGAGATCAATCCAACGAACCATCACTGCACTGCCTCCATTGCCATTCCTTAGATAGAGAAGCCAAACTTGCACACAGTACTCCAGTTGTGGTCTCAGCCAAGCTCCTTATTCTTATAGCAAGTCTTATTTGTTCTTGTATTCCAATCCCCTTTGCAATAAAGGCCAACATGCCTTTTATCATCCTAATTGCTTGCCAATTTGCATGCCAACTTTCTGTATTATTTCCATAAGAACATCCAGGTCTCTCTGAACATCAACATCTACAAGTTCCAAAGAAAGTTAAATTTGACTTGAAACATTAATTCTGTTTCTCTCCACCACAGATCCAGACAGACCTGCTAGTTTTTTTTTCAGCATTTTCTGCTATACCTGTACTTACAAGATATTTAAAATATTTTGGTTTTCTTTTCTTTCAACCAAAGTAAATAACCTCATAATTTCCCACATTAAACTCTATCTGCTACCTTATTGTCAATTTACTTAACCTGTCCATATATCTTTGCGGACTTCTCAGAGTTTGCATTTTCTTCTGGCTTTGTATTGTCAGCAAAAGTTAGATTCTTTGTTCTTGGTTTCTTTATCTGAGCCATTAATATAGATTGTAGATAAGTGTGGTTCCAGAACCGATCCTTACAGCAGTCCACTAGTTACAGCCTGCCAACTTAAAAAGGCTCATTTAAACCTACTCTCTGCTTCCTGACCATTAACTAATCCTTTATTCACACTAATACATCATCTTCAACTCCATAACTTTAATCTTATGTGTAAATATTTTGCATGGCACCCTCATTGCCTTTTGGATTCCAGGTATATTTATCTACTGATTCCCCTTTAACTACCCTACTAATAACCATGGTCAGTTTAATTTAGAGTTCCCTATAACTGTTGGCACATGAGGCAACTTACTCCTTCCACTGCTCTACGTCCACAACAAGAAGTTTAATTTCATCAGGAGTTGCCACTTTTTAATTGTCCTGTAAGAGATTATTCAGAGCCAGGAAGCAGCTTGGTGACATGACCAAGCCCAGCATACCACTGACAGACAGGCTAAAGGCACCCCCAATTCCATTAGCTCCATACTATTTCAATACTGCTACATTAACACTTGATCCTTGTGTTTCTCTAACAGGCACAGATGGTGGGATTGACTTTGGTATTATCAAGGTTTTTGATAGCGTGAAACAGACGATTACCTTGAAGAACAAGGGAAAATATGAGATTGGATACAGGTATTTATTTGCTCTTTTTCCTGAAAACACTGATACATGTTGGCATGCAGTAGCATTGGTTATACCATTAATGTAATGGCTTTAATTTCTGGTGATTGAAAAAGTTGCCTGTGCACCATCTCAGAGATGGCAAGAATGGGGCACATTCCTCACAAGCGCAAACTTGCTCAATTATTTCCCCTTCTCAGCACCTCTCTTACACTTCCAAGAGGAAGAGTTCTGTCCTTGTTTTCTTCATGAACAAGCTGCTTAATTGCTTTTGATGTCAGTTGAATGCTTTTGAGCACTTAAGTGGATGATCACAAATGATGTTGTTTGAGCTTTGTATGAGTTCATTTCATATCCGTTGTCTCCTCATAATGTAATTTAATTTCTATTTGATGTCAAATGATCACAAAAGAGTGCACGTGAATGCTGTTGAGTACAGAATGATAGCAAAATTTTCTGTCGGGATATTGTGGTGCAGTGATAGTGTCCCTACCTTTGAGTCAGGAAATCTGGGCTCAAGTCTCACTCGCTCCAGAGTCATGCAATACCATCTCTGAACAAATTAATGAGAAAATATTTACCAAAATTTTCTGTTATGGAAGTCCTCTTGATCTTAATAGGTCTGTTTATTATTGGGATAATTCTGCCTGATGAGAGGACAATCGCTAGCTATCTGCTGACAACATTCATGCCTGTTTGAGTAGAGAGAAGGGAAGATAAAGTGAACAGGCTTTTGAATCCCTGGATGGCTTGTTTGTAGGTAAATAACTGATCAGTTAATAAGGGGTTTGGGGACATCAGTGAAGCAAATCTATTTGTCAGAGCCAGTGCAAAGTTGAGAAGGAGCACAAATGACCACCAGACACTGAACTGAAAATTCCTGTTCTCCCCATTTGCTGTTTTTGCTGATGGTTTCAGTCATGCTCGTACTAATCATGCTTTCTTCTTTTAGATTCCTTCTGCAACCTACAAAACGCGACATGCCAGACCTAAACTCACTGTTCACCATTCAGCCAATGAAGGGATCCCTGCTTCCAAATGACCGTGCCACTCATATATACATCAACTTCCACTGCAAAACTACCACAGAGATCAAAGAGGAGCCCATTCTACGTTGCCTGGTAAGGGTGTAGGTATTGGTTTTGAGATGTTAACTCCTGGTTATTGCAGCTCTGTGTGAAATGGACAAATTTGCCATGACTGCTGTATCCCGTGACGTCGGTAACCAATCAGGCAGATATCAAAGTAACCTGGATAATGAGACACCATTATGGTTTGTGCCATTTTAGCTCTTCTATTTTTCTCATACTTGTGCATGACATTGAAGTTTATCTGTCCACCATCTTTTTCAATTCAGTTGGGAATAACTTGACACATTACACACTACTATCCACCCATTAACTGAATCACTAATTCTAAACCTACCATTGTTCTCTGCCTAGCGTTCTCTGTGGTGCTTGGTTCTGTGAAGGAACCAATTACCATGCTATGGCTGGACTGCAACAGGTTAGCGTCTTGACCTAATTGTGGACTGTGGGCTATGCCCACTCCTCAGTCATCTGTATGAGAGTCCACGTAGAAACCCTTTTAAACCTTCATTAGCAGCAGATCAATGAGCGGGCAGAAAACAAGCGTTCCAGATAGCCCTATCACCCAGTCTCCAGACTGGAATCTGTTCCTGGGAGGTGAGGAAGCCAGTAAAGCTGCATGGCACATTGTCTTTCTGGAGCCGTTCTCCTCCTTAATAAGAACAACCCCCTGGGTTCCTCTCTTGCAATCTGAAGCTATAATGAGTAAAAACAACATATGCACTATTCAATACTGTCCTAAAGTAGAACTTGATATGGTAGATCATCTGCCAGCTGAGGAGCCCAGACATCATCCTGGGGGAGAACTGTAGCAGTCACAAAATGTGGCATTAAATCATTTCCCACTACAACCGGTTTTGTTACTCCCCCAATTCCACTCCACAATCTTATCTCCATGTCCAAATCTTCTCATTGTTTTAGCAAGTGATGTGAAACTCCTAAGACAAATGTTCTTTTAAAATGAATGGGCAGAGAATTATAGGCTGCTAATGTCCAACAGAACACTCACTTTCTCGTTGATGTCTTTGTGTAACTTCCAGGTCTGTGTCAATCGCAGTCAACAACCTGTACCTAATCACCAGAGAGACATCAGCAGCAGAAATATCACTAACATTTTCCTCTCTACAGCCTGGGCTTTGGGACCAATTGTCCAAACTATTTCCACTTTGACTGCTGTCAGCTCAAATGCCTCAGACTACAGATCAAAGACAGGAGTTTGAGCCTGTGTAAATCAGTCTTGCACTGACAGCAAGCTTTAGTGTGCCTTTTTGTTCTAAATGTCCAAGAGAAAAAGTGTAAGAAAGTGTAAGAAATACTGAGATGGCTACTGTGTAGTCACTTAGATTAAATTAGCTTTACTCACCACACCTAACTCGTATTTTGTTTCATTTTGTGTACTTAGTAACATACAAAACTAGATAAATGAGTAGTGTTGTGTTTTCTCTTTGTGAATACAGGTGATTGAGCCCACTTTAGGTGATGGAGGAGAGATCATAGCCAGCATTCCAGTCAAAGTGTCAGTTTTTGCCATTTTCACCACCTATCAGATATTACCAGCAGGAGAGGTTAACTTTGGCATTGTGTTATTTGGCAACCGGAAAAGTCGTACATTCATCCTTGAGAACAACTGTGAATTTGATTTCAGATACTGCATCTTCAAAATGTCTGCTGTGATTCCACGTCAATCAAAGAAGGGGTATGGACATCCCATCAAATATCCTATCTGGAAATCATTGTAATTGTTGTTGGGTGCATCCAGCAGCTGTTCTGTTTACAATTTGTTCTGAGTTATATGGGAGCATCATGATGTGGATGGTATAGCAGTTGCAGCATCACCTTTGGTTTCAGTGCCTCTGCCTTTGCAGATAAGGAATGCAACTGCAATTTCTGCTCCTGTCCACTCTCTGATGATCCCTGTATCCTAAACTATGTGTGCAGTGAGAACTAGCCTTAACTGAAGCCATGCCCCATGTTTAAATGGCTTATTTCACCCATGAAGACTTGCCACTTAATTAGAACATAGTAATAACAGGAGGTATGTGGAACTGGGTGACAAGAATATACGTTGTCAGGAGAGGGTTGACCATAGGTAATTGGATTAAACGTTTCTCTTAGAAAGAAGTTGATTGTAGTTGTGTAGAAGGCTGGCAGAATTAATGAATTGGAATAGATTTTAAGTTTGAAGATCTGCAGCAGGAGAGAAGTTCCACAATTCTGTGATTGTGGTTTGCTACCTCTCCTGCATCCCCCACCCCTCCTCCATAAACTTCAAATCATCCCAAAATCTGCTAGCTCTGTGCTAATTCACATCTGGTTCTGCTCACCTAGCACATGCCCACTGACTAAATTTTAAATTTTACAATTTTCATTCTTGTACTTAAACTCCTCGATCTCCTCACCCCTTCCTATTTCTATAATCTGATCCAGTCCAATAGTTTTCTGAAATCTCAGCTTCCCTCTACTTCCAGCCTGTTGCACTCTCCATCAAAATCTATTCTTCTTTCTCACCCTTGAGGCATTCCTTAAAACCTGCCTGTTTCATCAAACATCTCTTCACCTGTCCTAACATCTCTCCGTATGACTCAATGTCACATTTTGTATGAGAATGCTCTTGTGAGGTACTTTGGGACAGGTTTTACAACATTGGAGGTGATAAATAAATGCATATTTTTGTTGTCCTGTGCAACAGTAAGCTGAAGTAAGAGATCCTGCCATGAGTTTTGTGTTTAGCATGGGAAATATGGGGGAAAAGGAAATGCATATGCAACAACACATTTGTTTTCTAGGCTGAACAATAGGTCTAAGGTTGAAGTAGTTCTAATTGCAGCATTACCAATAAATCAGAAATAAGCTTGTGATGGAAAATTGGCTTCCTTTGTAGAAGGAGTTCAGCTAATCTGATAAAACAATTGTGAGGCGAAGACAGCCTGGTGGTAACAAAGTAAAGGTATTTATTTAAGGGAGCCAAGAAAAATCTCCTGTGATTAAAATAAGGTGATAACAATGCAGAGCACAGGTCCGTCAACACCTAATCAGAAAAAGAAAATTGGTAGGATCAATTCTAATGCAACGTCAAATGTTGAAAGACCTGCTGTGTATCATCATTGCCTGATTTGAATACAGAAGTTGTTAATTGGTTCCTTTCATAAAATATTCCCTCCTTCCAGCACCATTTTGTCATAGCGTCACATCTCTACATATTCTGTTGGCCCATATGCATTCTGACCTGGATAACATTTGGCCCTGTGTTGCTGAGTGGTCAGTAATGGCAGGGCCACACAGGTAGCATCAAGAGAGTTAAACCACCTGTCCCCACTTTATCATTCAATGGTATTACCCTTGTTAGTCACTATTCTTATAGAGACCATTGACTGAAAACTCAACTGGACCAGCCACATGGCTAGAAAAGCAGATCGTTAGCAGATTGGAAGGACACGTGATGAGAATGTATTTGCAGAGCTATGGTGAAAGAGGAGGGGAATATTTCAATTAGAAAACTCCTTTTCAATGCGACAAATTGTCCCCTTTGTATTGTATCATTCTATGGTTCTTGCATTCTCAAGAACATTTTGTATGTTACTAAATTACATTTTCAGAAACTGTAACTATTTTCTTTTGTTTTGGGTTCTGTAGTGGCAATGATGTTGGTGGTGGTTCAAAGGTTGGGAAAGCTCAGGATAAAGCTGATGGAATTCCGAAACAGAAAGAACAAACTCCCCAGGTAAGTTTTAACGTTGGCACACAGGGCCTGCTTAGAAACATGGCTGCAAAAGTGGTATAACAAAGTGTAGAGCTGGATGAACACAGCAGGCCGAGCAGCATCATAGGAGCAGGAAAGCTGACGTTTCGGGCCAAGACCCTTCATCAGAAATTGGGGAGGGGAAGGGGGTTCTGAAATAAATAGGGAGAGAGGGGGAGGCGGATAGAAGATGGATAGAGGAGAAGATAGATGGAGAGGAGACAGACAGGTCAAAGAGGCGGGGATGGAGCCAGTAAAGGTGAGTGTAGGTGGGGAAGTAGGGAGGAGATAGGTCAGTCCAGGGAGGACGGACAGGTCAAGGGGGCGGAATGAGGTTAGTAGGTAGGAGATGGGGGTGAGGCTTGAGGTGCAAGGAGGGGATAGGTGGGAGGTAGGACAGGTTAGGGAGGCGGGGACGGGTTGGGCTGGTTTTGGGATGCGGTAGGGGGAGGGGAGATTTTGAAGCTTGTGAAATCCACATTGATACCATTGGGCTGCAGGGTTCCCAAGCGGAATATGAGTTGCTGTTCCTGCAACCTTCGGGTGGCATCGTTGTGGCACTGCAGGAGGCCCAGGATGGACATGTCGTCTGATGAATGGGAGGGGGAGTTGAAATGGTTTGCGACTGGGAGGTGCAGTTGTTTAGTGTGAACCGAGTGTGACTGGGAGGTGCAGTGCCACAACAATGCCAACCATTTCTAAAGGAGGGTCTAGGCCCGAAACGTCAGCTTTCCTGCTCCTATGATGCTGCTTGGCCTGCTGTGTTCATCCAGCTTTACACCTTGTTATCTCAGATTCTCCAGCATCTGCAGTTCCTACTATCTCTGATGCAAATGTGGTATGCTCTGTTCAAATGTATTTCAAACCAGAGGCAGCCAGTGTTCCCATTCAAAACAGAAACAGGTAATGCTCAGCAGGACAGGCAGCGCTGAATGATGGACTTAATGAACTTAATAGAAACATAGGAAATAGGAGCAGGAGTAGGCCATTCAGCCCTTCTAGCTGTCTCCATTATTCAATATGATCATGTTTGATTATCTAACTTAGTACCTTGTTCTTGCTTTCTCCCCACACTTTTTGACCCCTTTAGCCCTAAGAACTATGTATAGCTCGTTGAAAATATTCAATGTTTTGGTCTCAACCATTTTCTGTGGAAGAGAATTCCACAGGCTCACAACTGTTTGGTGATGAAATTTCTCCTAATCTCAGTCCTAAATGGCCTGCCCTGTTTGCTTAGTCTGTGGCCCCTGGTTCTGGACTCCCTAGTCATCAGGAACATTATTCCTGCATTTATCCTTGTCTGGTCCTGTTAGAATTTTGTAGGTTTCTATGAGATTCCACCTCATACTTCTGGATTTCAATGAGTATAGTATCTGAGAATCTGAGATAACAAGGTGTAAAGCTGGATGAACACAGCAGGCCAAGCAGCATCATAGGAGCAGGAAAGCTGACGTTTCGGGCCTAGACCCTCCTTTAGAAATGGGGGAGGGGAAGCGGGTTCTGAAATAAATAGTATAGTCCTCACTGATCTGGTCTGTCTTTATATGTCAGTGCTGCCATCCCAGAAATGAACCTAGTAAACCATCATTGCATTCTATCCATAGAAAGAACATCTTTCCTCAGATAAGGAGACCAATACTGCAGGTGTGGCCTCATCAAGGCCCTGTACAATTTTAGCAAGACCATTCCTGCTCCTGTACCTGAATCCTGTCACTGTGAAAGCCTACATACCATTTCCCTAAGGTTTTGGGATGCTCATCTTGGAAAAATCACCTCAGCATCTTCCAGAAGAGCAGCTTTTAAAAAAGAACAGAAGAAATATTGGGTCACTGCGTGGAAAAGGGAAACTTTCATAGTGCCAGCTGGAATTGGGATCAAGAAATCATGTTTGCTGGTTGTGCAGCTATTTAGTACCAGTGTGCTGGTCACAAAAGCACGAAGTGAATTTTTTGCACAACTAAAGAAGAGAGGTATGCTAGAAGATGGAGATAAATATGGGCCTAAACTAGGGCAGACAGCAGTGGAGTAGAATTGGGTGTGACTTGATGGATAAATGTTGAGAGAGAAGCGGGAGGGACAGATGTATGAACGGCCTCCGTCCATGATCTTCCCACAGTTGTTGGAATGATGAATTAAAGATACAATGGAATAAAAAGGCATTTAGTACTGAAAGGAACAAAAACAAAGTTGCTGGAAAAGCTCAGCAGGTCTGGCAGCATCTGTGAAGAAAAAAACTGAGTTAACGTTTCAGGCCCGGTGACCTTTCGGGTTGTCTTTAGCCCCCAAGTTGATGCTGGAGTATTGTGTGGCTTAGACAGAGGAAAGTGAGATCTGCTAATGCTGATATAATCCAGCCAGATGTCCTAAGGGGTAGCAATACCAAATAAGTATCAGATTCACTTAAAACTGCACCTCTTGGACTTCAGGGGCAGAAGATATGGAAAATGGGAAAAAGTAAAGGTTTTGTATGGAATAAGAGCATCTGGATTGAATGTAAAAGGAAAAGTTACCATGGTCATGGTCCCTCATTAGTGACAGAGAGACAACTTGTGGTGGTTTAACCTGAGGATCACCACACTTCAAGTGAGGGGAGAGGATGAAAAAGAGACTCCTTCTTGGTAGTCCCAGTCAGTGTGGCAGTTGAACCATTATAGTTGATATAACTCAGCTTCACGAACCAGCTGTCCAGCTAACTGAGCTAACTGACAAAATGAACAGTTCATCCACTTCACTAACACCTTCCACCCCAACCTTAAGTTTACTTGGACCATCTCTAACACCTCTCTCCCCTTCCTGGACCTCTCTGTCTCCATATCGGGCAACCACCTAGAAACCGATATTCATTTCAAGCCCACCGACTCCCACAGCTACCTAGAATACTCCTCCTCCCACCCACCTTCCTGCAAAAATGCTATCCCCTATTCCCAATTCCTTCGCCTCCGCCGCATCTGCTCCCAGGATGAGGCATTCCACTCCCGTACATCTCAGTTGTCCTCGTTTTTCAAGGACCGTAACTTCCCCGCCTCGGTGGTCGAGAACGCCTTCAACCGTGTCTCCCACATCTCCCGCACCTCATCCCTCACACCCCGTCCACGCAATAAGAAGCAAAAAAGAATCCCCCTCGTCCTCACGTACCACCCCACCAACCTCCGGATCCAACGCATCATCCTCCGACACTTCCGCCATCTGCAATCCGACCCCACCACCAAAGACATCTTTCCCTCCCCACCTTTATCTGCTTTCCGGAGGGACAACTCTCTCCGTGACTCCCTTGTCCGCTCCACACTCCCCTCCAGCTCCACCACACCCGGCACTTTTCCCTGCAACCGCAGGAAGTGCTACACCTGCCCCCATACCTCCTCCCTCACCCCCATCCCAGGCCCCAAGAAGACTTTCCACATCAAGCAGATGTTCACCTGCACATCTGCCAATGTGGTATACTGCATCCGCTGTACCCGGTGTGGCTTCCTCTACATCGGGGAAACCAAGCGGAGGCTCAGGGACCGCTTTGCAGAACACCTACGCTCGGTTCGCAATAAACAACTGCACCTCCCAGTCGCGAACCATTTCAACTCCCCCTCCCATTCCTCAGACGACATGTCCATCCTGGGCCTCCTGCAGTGCCACAACGATGCCACCCGAAGGTTGCAGGAACAGCAACTCATATTCCGCTTGGGAACCCTGCAGCCCAATGGTATCAATGTGGATTTCACAAGTTTCAAAATCTCCCCTCCCCCTACCGCATCCCAAAACCAGTCCAGCTCATCCCTACCTCCCTAACCTGTTCTTCCTCCCACCTATCCCCTCCTCCCACCTCAAGCCGCACCTCCATCTCCTACCGACCAACCTCATCCCGCCCCCTTGACCTGTCCGTCCTCCCTGGACTGACCTATCCCCTTCCTAACTCCCTACCTACACTCACCTTTACTGGCTCCATCCCCGCCTCTTCGACCTGTTTGTTTCCTCTCCACCTATCCTCTCCTCTATCCCTCTTCTATCCGCCTCCCACTCTCTCCCTATTTATTTCAAAACCCCCTTCCCCTCCCCCTTTTCTGATGAAGGGTCTAGGCCCGAAACGTCAGCCTCTCTGCTCCTATGATGCTGCTTGGCCTGCTGTGTTCATCCAGCCCTGCACCTTGTTGTCTCGGATTCTCCAGCATCTGCAGTTCCTACTATCTCTGACAAAATGATTGCTGGCTTTGGAACTATTAATAGTGAAAGAAAGGCCTAATGCTAGGCATCTGTGAGTTTTAAACTGCAGTTGTAAATAATTTGGAGGAGTTTGCTGCAGGCAATGAGATAGAGAAATGTGGGCATTGAGGGATACCAGAAAGTGGTCAGAGATGACTACGTGATGGTAGATGGTAAACTTGAAGAGGTTACAACATTTAAAAGAATTTATATCACAGAAGCAGATCACTCAGTCCAACTGAGCAATTCCACTGTTTATACTTGGTACAACACGGAAACATAGAAACTAGGATCAGGTGCAGACCTTTCGAACTGCTCCACAAGATTGCTCCGGCCCCTATTCATCCAGTTCCACCAGCTCAACATATTCCTTCAACTGGTACTAAAAGTTAGAAGAGTTTACATGGAAAGAAAACTTTATTAAAGGACAATGAAGTCAGAGGAGAGAGAGGCAAGGGAAGCTGAGTTGCTGGTTATCATAAAGAATCAGAAATGGTTCAGTGTAGAGACTGAGAAAGGACAGGAGCCGGACATGAGAGACTTTGAGTGGGATGGCCTGCAAGGGATAACTTTGAAAGGAGATGCAAGAGGACTGGAAATGAACGAGGTGCTTGGAAATGTAAAGTCACAGAGAAGTAGTGGAAATCTCATGTCAAGTGACTCACTGCCACTATACCCTTAATGCTATGTTGCAAATGCCACTGCTTTTACTTTAATAATTCTCTATTTTAATAGTGTTGCTTCTGGTTTGCTGTGCTATTACTTAGAGCTTGTCACAAGTCATTGATGTGATAAAGCTGCATGGAGAGATGATCTCACATGCCCAGGATGTTGATTTCCTTACATTGATGTCCTTGATATCACCTTTACCCCGATTCAAGGAGGAATTAAGTATTAAAGCCAACAATTGATGCTAATCCTTCATAAAACACTGGTTAGATTTTAGCTGGAGTATCCTGTGCAAACAAGTAGGATGGATGTCAAGAACTCCGAGAGGGTGTATAAGAGATTCACTCATGACACTAGAGATGGAAGATCTTCAGTTATATGGAGAAGCTGCAGATACTGGCGTTGTTCTCCTTTGACCAAATAAGATTAAAGGGAGATTTGATTGTCACATATTGTATAAACTCTATTCTCCTGGAGCACCATCACCCTGATGATTGCCCCTCTCTGTGAGAACCGGAATTAGAAGAATGAAAATACCAGTACCATTCATATCATGGCTAAAGGAACCAGTAAGATACCTCATTTAGGACCTCTGCCATTGCTAGACTCCAGGAGCTGCTGAAAGTATGTGGTGAGACCCTAGGATGATTCACCATTTGGTTTTCCTTGCATCTAAATTAGGAAACATCTGGCCTGTTGCCTGCCTTCATTAAGGCACCACTTAGTGCCACAAAATTTAGAATGCACATCCAGTTAGCTTTTTGGCACTATACATTTCATGACAATGACTAATAGCCATTTACATGGTCATCTACTGATGTGGTTCCACCTCCTCTTATAGCATTCAGTGCGGAATGTCATGCTTCTTCAATAGTACCTTCTAATCTAGTTTTCCATCACTTAGAAAGCAGAATGGTGAACAAAATCACCAGCAAATGAGCCTTCCATTTCACACATTATCTCAACCTGAAAATAGCTCACTGTTCTTTCATTGTTCCTTGGTCAAACCACGTAGCCTGCACAAGCGTATAAAGTGGCTAACCACCACCTTCCAAGGCAAATCTAAGGATCAGCAACAAATGCTGGTCTTGCTAACAACACTAACATCCCATGAATGAAATTTTAAAACATTGTGCTGAGTTGGTTGCATGCTCCAGTACTCAGTAACTTACAGTTTTTGTTCTTACCTTTCTCATAGGCCCGTTTGACAGTTGGAATGTTCACAATTTTCCCTGGTTATGGAGTTGTGCTCCCTGGAGCGCAACAGTCCATTACAGTGGACTGTTCTGCAGATCAGATTGGAAAACATGAAGAGCTCCTGTGTATTGATATAACTGACCGGGATCCGGACAGCTATCCATCTGGTATTCCATATGGACTGGTCATTGAATGCTGTGCACCAAGTACGTTCAGAAGAAACAAAACAAGATGCAGTTTGCACAAACAACTGGAATTATTTTTGTTTCATTAGTGGAACTTAAGTGTTACTTAAAGTTTTTGAGAAGATTTGTATCTCGGCTTGTGGATGAGGTTGTAGACATGCTCGTCGAGCCAGTGGATTTGGTTGCAAATGTTTTGTCACCCTGCTAGGTAACATTGTCAGTGTGCCTCCGGTGAAGCATTGGTGTTCTGTCCCGCTTGTTATTTATATGCCTCGGTTTGCTGGAGTGGTTGGTATTACTTCCGGTTCTGTTTCTCAGTGGCTTGTACACAGGGTCTAACTCAATGTGTTTGTTGATGGAGTTCCGGTTGGAATACCAGGCCTCCAGGAATTCCCTGGCATACCTCTGTTTGGCTCATGCTATTATGGATGTGTTGTCCCAGTCGAACTAGTGTCCCTCGTTGTCCGTGTGTAATCAAACAAATGAGAATTGATTGTGTCTCTTGGTGGCTAGTTGGTGTTCGTGCATCTGTATTGTCAATTTTTTTCTCCGGCTCGGTGAGATGTCTACAACCTCTTAAGTGTTACTGCTATTGATTTGTCCCTGATTGCCCTTGAGCAGGTGGAGGGCCACCTTCAACAGCTTCTACAGTTCATGTTGTTTAGGTACAGCTGCTGTTAAATGGAGAATTCAAGAATTTTGACCTGGTGAGGGTAAAGAATCAGTGACATTTTTCTAAAACTTGGAGCCAGTGGTGTTCCTACCCAGCTACTGCTCTTATTCCTCTTAATAGTAGAGGTTGCAGGTTTGGGAGATACTGCTGAAGAACCCTTGGTGTGCTGGTAGAGTTTAATAGAGTCATAAAATTGTACAGCACGGAAACAGACCCTTCGGTCCAACTCATCCATGCTGACCAGATATCCTAAATTAATCTCATTCCATTTTCCAGCATTTGGCCCATATTCCTCTAAACCATTCCTATTCGTATATCCATCCAGATGCCTTTTAAATGGCAGCTCATTTCATACACGCACCACCCTCTGTGTTAAAAGTCGCCCTCTTAGGCCCCTATGCCCTCGAGTTTTGGACTCCCCTACCCTGGGAAAAAGACTTTGGTTATTCACCCTATCCATGCCCCTCATGACTTTATAAACTTCTATAAGGTCACACCTCAGCCTCTGATGCTCCAGGGAAAATATCTCCAGTCTATTCAGCCTCTCTATAGCTCAAACCCTCCAACCCTGGCAACATCCTTGTAAATCTTTTCTGTACCCTTTCAAGTTTAACAACATCTTTCCTATAGCAGAGAGACCAGAGTTGAATGTGGTATTTCAAAAGTGACCTCACCAATGTCCTTTGCAACTACAGCATGACCTCCCAACTCCTATACTCACTGACCAATCAAGACAAGGGATTGGGTGCTTAACAAGAGTGCTATGTCATCCTGTTTCTGTTTTTGAATATTGTTGGAGCTACATTCATCCAGGCTACTGGAGAGTATTCCATTGCACTTGTGACATCTGAATTATACATAGTAGTGTTGTGAAAAGTCAAGATGTGAGTTCCTTGCCATAAAATTCCCAGCCTGTGTCCTGCCCTTCTATGACTGTGACCTCACTTATGTATCTCGGGACCTGAGAAGATGCAATTTAACATGCAATTCACCTCTTTCTACACTCCTCACCACCCTCTACCTCGCGCAACCCCACCACCACCACCATCACCAATACCACCACCACCACCAAGCAGTGTCAGGTGTCTTGTCTTCCAGTCAAGCACTTCCTCCGCCAACTGCCCACTCCTGGATTTCCTCTTTTTCGTCCCCCATGTATAATGCTGACAGACAATGCGAATGAGAGTCTTCCCCACATCCCACCATAGCCTCAAGGAGGGGAAAGCCCCCCTTTCCTTCTCCAGCTGGTCCAGAAGTGATGAAATGAGTCTTGAACTGCTTGTCCTCCAGCAGCACATTGTTAGAAGCACAGCACGCAGATATGAGCCAGGCATGGAATGGGGTGACCTCTGTCCACACCAGATGGTGATCTGTGCATGGCACCTGTCGCATGGAGGCCATGGAACAAAGGAGACAGACGCTCGTGAAATGGTCAATTCTCAACGCTCCAATCCTAGGCGTCACAAAGGTGAAGACGATGAAGTTCCCATCAGGCATCCACCAGGTCAAGGAACTTGACTAATCTCCTGTTTGACGTGGCATGAGAGCAGCCTAGACACTGCCTCCACCTGCTACTCAAGGGTGCAGTTAAAATTTCCTCCCCCTCCAGGATAACAAGCATATTTTGCAATCACATGGCTTATTTTACTACTTTCTAATCAACTGGTTCAGAGATGTTAATACACTGCTTTGGAGCAGGTGAGACGTGAACCCGGTTCTCTGAGCTCAGAGTTCAGGACACTACCACCATGCCACAAGAGCCCCCGCTAACCAGTTCTTTTTTTTCCCTTCTCTATATCTAGAAGTGCTCTTACACACAACAGTTCTTTCCCCAAATTAACCAAATTGACAAATCAATAGGTATTTTTTCACCTATTAACCATCACCAGCAAATTACACATGTTTTCAATTTACACGCCAAGCCTGTTAAGGGCATTACCCAGTGATTTGATTTGGTTTTTTTATATATCCAGAATTGCCCTTATACACAACTGAACAATTTTTTCCCACCAATTAACCACCACTAGTAAATCACCCACATTTCCAGTTGAATAATTTATATGCAAAGCCTGTTAAGGGCACTTCCAAGTGCTTCTTTTTATATTATACACAGTGCTAAAATACAAAATCCAATGAGCATTGCCTGTTGTGAATTAACCCTGGAGATGTTCTATTTGACTGTTAGGAATCTCCTGACACAGTGTTGGTGCCCTTACCCCTGGACCAAGAGACCATGGTTCAAGTCCCACTTGCTCCATAGGTGTGTCATAACATCTCTGTGAAGGTTGATTAGTAAAATAGGTTCTATTTGACTCTTAGATGGATCTGTACTTCTAACTCTGATAGAGGTCTTCAGCAACTGCAATTGGTTTTCTTTTTGCCAGGCACAACTACAATCAGTGGAAAGTTACCCCAGGTTTCATTGACTTTAATTTTACTGTGGGTCCTGATGCAATGCTCAGTCTAATGTTTCCTTGATTACAATAGTACTGAAGACTTGTGCTCCAGAACCAGCCGCACCCTTAGCCAAGCTGTTTCAAAGCATCAACAACATCGGCAATGACCTAACAATGGGAAAGATTGCCCAAATATGTCCTGTCCATAAGAAACAGGGAAATCCAATTCAGTCAATTACCAGGGTAGACAAGCAGGAGGCTGGAAGAACACAGCAAGCCAGGCAGCATTTGGAGGAAAGGAGAAGTCAATGTTTCGGGTATTACCCTTCTTCAGTCTTTCAGTTTCCTCCAGATGCTGCCTGGCTTGCTGTGTTCTTCCAGCCTCCTGTTTGTCTACCTTGGATTCCAGCACCTGCAGTTTTTTTTTGTCTAAGTCAGTTACCACCCTATTAGTCTCAATCATGAGCAAAGCCGTCAAAGGGGTCATTGACAATGCTATCAAGTTACACTTACACAACAATAGCCTGCTCACTGATTCAGTGTTTCAGTTCTTGATGCCTGACCCCATTACTGCCTTGGTCCAAATGTGGACAAAAGAGCTGAAAACAAGAGGAAAGGTGAGAATGATTGTCCTTGTTTATCAATGCAACAGTTGATGAAGTGTGGTATCAGGGAGAACAGCAAAATTAAAGTCAATGGTAATCACGGGGAAAGTGCTTTGCTGGTTAGAGTCATATCTGGTACTAAGGAAAATGGTTTTGATTGTTGAAGTCCAATCATCTCAGTTTGAGAGCATTATTGCACAGGTTCCTCTGGTAAATGTCCTGGGCCAAACCATCCTCATAAAGTCAGTGGGGATATTCTCTGATGATTGTACAATGTTCAGTACCTTTCACAACTCTTCACATATTGAAGCAGTCTGTGTTCACATGCAAAACGGCCAGGACATACGAAGGTCACGCTTTTCGGTGTTAATTAACGTCTACATCATATAGTGGCAGGTCAATGACCATTGCCAACAAAAGGGAATCTAATAGTCTCTCATGACATTCAATAGTGTTACCATTGCTGAATTCCGTACTATCAATGTTCTGGAGGTTAGCATCGACCAGAAACTGAAATGAAGTGAATTGGGCAGCAATACAAATACTGTGACTGCAAGAACAGGTTAGAGGTGGGGAATTCTGCAGTGAGTAACTCATCTCCCAACTCTGCAAGCTTTTTTTTAAATCACAAACATGTCAGAAGTCAGGAATGTGATGGAATACTCCCTACTTGCTTGATTGAGTGCAGCTGCAACAATATTCAAGAAACAAGGCAGCCATTCTGAAGAAGAGTCATAAATGGACTCAAAATATTAACTACTTCTCTCTCCTCAGATGCTGCCAGACCTGCTGAGTTTCTCCAGCAACCGCTGTATTTATTTGTCTGTCTGTCTGCCAGTCTGTCAATCAAACTACTTATTCATTTATCAATTTAGTTATTTATATAAACAACCTACTTGGTGGGAGCCGATTCACCCAGAGACATGGGAACACCACCACTTGCAAGTTCCTTTACATGCCCCACAACATCCCACCTCAGAACTGTGCTGCAATTGGATCAAAATCCTGCATATCCCTCCCTAACAGCTCCTTGGGAATATCTAGACCATGCAGACTACAATGATTCAAGCTGGTAGCTCACTATCACAACATAATAAGGAAGTAATAGCAGCTCATTTTGAAGATCATAATCGAATCAAGCAGATCAACATGGCCTCATAAAAGGGAAACCACGTCTGATTAATTTATTAGGATTTTTCTCAACCAGAGTGGATAGAGTGTAACTTGTATTTGGACTTCCAAAAGGAGTTCAACAAGGTACCTCACAAAGGTTAAGTCATAAAATAAGAGCACCCATTACAGCCTAAGTCCAAACCTGGACAAAAGAGCTGAAAACAAGAGGAAAGA